ACGTTGCAACAAAAGAACAAGCGCAAGTGTTTTCCTCTTGTTTCCCGCAGGAAGACTTCCCTGTGCCCTCCAAGAGGTCTCGGATTTGCTTGTGACTCCCGAGCCTGCTGCGGAAAGATCATGAATTTTCATGAGGTAGCGCGCGCGGAGGTGTTTAGAAAAAGCGCCGCCGATTGGTACTGATTTGCATTTGTATATCGAGGCAGGACCGACGTGAATTTTCGTCAAGTGACATTTCCGCATTTGTCGTTTGTGGCTTTGCCTTGTTTTGTCTCATTCTCTTCAGATGATCTTTTTCTGCTACTATGATGGACGAGCAACTTGTGCTTTCCAAGACAGTCGTAGTGTTTTCCTCCGAGGTGAGAACATAGTGACCCGGTACCAATTTTCAGTCGCCAAAATAGGAATGTCAGTTGCTAGTCACGCAGTTTGTTAGACACTCCCTCGAACAATGCCTATATGGAAGAAAGTGCAAACTCGTCTTCCATCAATGGTAGTCCCTCCAATGGGTCAACTCGCACGGCAAACTAAACCCGCTAACAATTGGCAAATAAATCTAAATTTATCGACCTGTCATCGAATCTCTGTTCTAGTATTGCTCTATTGCTGCTGCTGCTGCTTCGACTCAATGCTAGAAACGAAGAGAATTAGACCGCACCATATAAGGCCTAGCAGATCCAATCGCTTCTCCCTTTGTACTCCGAGCATGTTGACAAGCCCTAGTTGCCCTTCTCCCCCACCCGCCATGCTTTCTATCTCTAATCCCATATCTACTTTCTTGCAACAAACGCTAGAATTAATAACAAATAAATAAACACTTAATCATACATAATTGAACAAGCACAAACATTGTTCAAAAATTTCAATTTTGCAATAAATCTCTGCCACGAACCCGACCCGGCGATCGCAGTAGGCCAACAACCGCGGCGGGTTCTCACACTAAACGGTAACGATTCGCCGCTTGCTTTGCTCATGTTGCAGTCACCTCGATCGTAGTAAACACTGGCTGCCGCGCGGTTTGTTCCACCCGAGCGAGCGACGAGGATTTTTTCTGCATCACCTACTTTGATCCCCATCCAACCCAGCCTAGATACCTACCTACCTACCGTATTGGATCGGAAAGGTAGTGCCTGCTGGTGGCGCGTATCGGGTTTCACAAGCACATTCCTCCCTTCTGTTTTTCTTTCTGGTCGATGCCCAAATGAGCCGCCAAATCAGATCAAAACGAAGCATTGTTGTTCAAACTGTCCGAAGAGCACAAACAAAATGCCGCACGGAGAATATAAATCATAGAATGCCATGCCGAAGAAGCAGGGGAAAGCCTCCCGAATCGAGCTCGGTTGTGTAACCTCAGTGAATCATTGTCGGGTCTCCGGGTACCAACCAACGCCTCCTGTGATCGATAGAGAACAATATCGAACCCCCAAGCCACGTCAATTTTCGGTTGTTTGCTTTCTGATTGCGTCGACTTAACACTATTGTCTTTCGCTGACATCTCGAGTGTTTGGAGCCTTTTTATTAGTAGATCAAAATCAAATTAAACAAAGCGCTTTAACGCCCCCCGTTTTCTTATGTTTCGTCTCTTCAGACCGACCATAGAGCGCGGTGGTAATCGGATATTTAAGGTTTGAGCCGCCGCCGCCGACGACGACGACGACCGCTGCGTGGCCACCGCTACAGACGTCACGATCACGCGTGTGGGTCAATATTTGACGAGTCATTACCGTTTGGAGTCATGAACTGGGGCCCCGGTGGAGATCGGGTCTTTGTCTTCTCTCCTGCTTCTTGGGTCTCATTGCGCGTTTAAACCAGAAAGGAGGCGACAAACACGGAGAAGCGGGTGGTAGAGAAATTTGAGATATTTGCAGCTGCCCCACCACCGACCGCCGTCGTCTCTTATTCAGTCGCTGATCCGAGTTGACAGATGGACACCGTCGTCCGTCAGTCATCAACCATAAGCAGCGCACTTTCACGCCGCCTTTGTTTTTACGCAGTGCATGTTGTGACAGATTGGACAGCGAGCGGTGTGACAGATTATCACTAGGCATGAATGTGAGACTTTTCGCACACTGCGGTGGGTAGGCTTTCAATTTCAAGGCCTAGTGAGCCCTCCCGAATCGACGCTCATTTCAAATCGACTCCCAATTAACCAGTGCACATGTTTTCGTTCACCGCGGGGTTCAAACTCATTTACTCACAAATGTGATGCCTCGGGGACTCGAGGAGCGTAGTGTTCCATGGAATGCAACGTGCACCAACCGACCGCCAGCTTGGATCTTGCAAATCCCTTTCTCCTTGCGTGTTATTTTGGTTCATAAAAAGGAAGGAATTATTTTTTTGGGATCACCCAGCAAATGAAGAAATTCCTTATCACATGGGAAGTTGAAATTTGGGGCGTGTTGCATTACAGAGCGATTAAGGACGCCCCGAGGTGCATGGGAATGGATTGTTTTGGAAGGAGATAATCATTTTTCTTCGCTTTAATTAGCCATATGGGTTCGGTTGAAATTCGAGGATTTTTTTGCGAAACGGAAATGCGGGTCATTGCTGAATAAAGAGCCATTTTCTTCACCACCGTTGAGATCATTTAAGTTGATCAGTTAGCTGAGAGTGAAATGTGACACTGCCGCTTCTCATCAGGGAAGTCGAAACGTGAGAAACTTATCGACATTTGTCACAAGTCGGTGAATTTGCATCACAAGTCAGTTTGGATTGCAATCATAGTGAACCAAGATTACTTTGTTTCCATTAGATGGGCATGCAGTCTCCATGGGGGTCCATGCTACTGTTTATCCATGGCATGCTTCGGCGATTTTCGAGATCTTCAAGGTAAACGAGTGGGTGGTTTAAATTTCATTCGCATTTGCCGCAATTTCACGCTTGTATTGCTTTAAAGTTTGAATGTTTTAATTTAAATCTACTACCCTAACCAAAGCACAAAGCAGGAGTAAATTTCATCAAGGACGCACAGTGGGGCAGTGAATCCCGGTAGCGTGGTCAAAGCCTCTAGCGCCGTTCGTATGCATCCTACAGATTTACAGTCTTGGATAAAGTTGCTCAGTTTATTAAGGGCCAACTTTTGGTGCTTTCTGATTAGTTCGTATTTCTGCTCGAATCCATTTTTTTTAAAGGGAGGATGGTTTCTTGGGCAAAGTTGTGCATTTTATAGTTCTGAGAAACGTTGTCCAAGACATCAAAGACCTGTGACTCAGCATGGGCATAGTACAATAGGAAACAACAGTTTTTTTTTTTTTTATTTAACATATTCCAATGACAGTTCATAAACATGTTTGCTGATCCCCGTTGTGCTATGCGTAATGAAATTTCCAACTAGGTCTACATTAATAACTCTGAATAAATTTGTCCGTCCATTTCTGTCCCAATTTGAGTAAATGGTTTAGAAAATACTTTTACAATAATGTATGAGTTACCTCAAAATTTGTAATAATTGGGAAAATTTTAGCATTCTGATAAAGTACTAAGTATCAAGCTTACACTTCTGAGCTAAAAACGTTAAGCAACTGTGATAATTATTTTCTTAAAGAATGTGATCGCGCACGGGCAGGATCTTTTCCTGCGTTGTGTTATTTTACAATGAAAGAAATAAAAGACAAACGATTATCTGGCCGGCACAAGGCAAAACACTTGCGTATACCACTAACGACACCTGTGCGTGGATACAAACGTTACTACAAATAATAGGGTAATTGAACATGTACTGGACGCTTTGTACAAACAGAATGTTTTTCTTAGCTGATATCTCGCTTTCAGTGAGTCTTAAGTCTTTGATGAATTTGACAGCATTTCTTGTAGGACGCCCCGTTCAAAAGATAGATTCGAGCGACACCTATGCTGCAGGAATACGAACTAATCAGAAACCTCCAAAAGCAGGCTATTTGTAAACTAAACAATGTTTTCCACGACTGCAAATCTGTAGGATGCATACCCACGGCGCTAGAGGTTTTGGCCACGCTACTGGGATCGTTGCCCCACTGTGTGGAGCACAGGCTCAATGAAACTCCTCAAACTCACATGAGGCTAGCAACTTTTGCCCAGTGAGTTACTAGTTACTCAAGTTTAGGGCTACATAACTAAACTTGAGTAACTACAGAGTTGTCACAGCTTCAACGCAGTGCACATAATTTTTCTAAAGCAGATTTCTCGATTAATTTTTGAATAGGTCCTATGTCCCTTTGTCGATCAAACAATCGAATAACTTGATTCGGTTTCTACCGCGACCAGTGCAGTATTTTCGAAATAATGATACATACAGTGTTGCTCGCAGTCCTTCGGATCGAGCATAGAAAACTATTTTACAAAGTATGCTTTCGGCGATACTCAAACTAAAATTTTAATACAACAAACATTAATCACAGATGCACTTATCATTAATAACAAACAACTTACATTAAGTTTTCCTCAATATAAATACTACCAGTCTCACTGCCAACACTCCTATACTTGGTTTTGAGGACCTATGTTGAAAACATTAATTTATTACATTTACTGACTATCGAATACAAACAAACTCACGGTAAATAGCACAAAATATCATGAGCGCAGAACAACGAGCAAACCTAATATCGACCAACAATCAGCTGACGAAATCTACAAAAACACCAAATATAACTTTCACAATATTTACAATAAACTATTGCATATACAAAATTGACTTCACACATATTTTGCTATATAATTACAAGTGGACAGACAAATTCACTTCACTAAATTACAAGATGAGAATTTCACCATTTCGTTTCGATCTTCAGTGTCAACAATAACAAATTGCGATGGCTGATCCCACTGCGCGATCAGCTGCATGCGCATGTATGTGTGCCATTCATTTTGGTCATCTTCATCAGTCGTCGAGAACTGTCAGTGGACGGGTGCGTTCACGGTATTCGCCAATTCGCAACTGGGTGTTCACTTTCACCGACCGCAACCGGGTGCTCGTTTTTACCAACGGCAACAATCCCCCACCCGTAAACCCTGTCGCTGATTCACTCGGTAACAGTACGGGGATTACTATTTTCCACCTCAATCTCCAAAACGGCTAGCTTCGATACTGGTCGCAGCTTCTCACCCCGGCTGGTCTGCACGGACGCTGAGAGGATTCTCCCATCACTTCCAACGAACACTTGCGTCACCAGGCCTCGCTCCCAGGTATTCCGCTTTTCGCCATCAGCCACAAACACCAGATCTCCTATCGCCACTTTTCGATCGTCCAAGTACCACTTCGACCGTCTGTTCAAGATCGGCAGATACTCCCGCTGCCAACGATCTCAAAATCCATCCGCTAACTGCTGCGCTCGACTATATCTGCTCCGCAACGTATCAGCCAAATCCACCGGAATCCTCGACGGTAGACATTCGGCCGACGATCGACCACGCAGGAAGTGATTTGGTGTTAGCGCTTCTTTGTCTTCCTTCACGTTGGTTGACACGTACGTAAGTGGACGTGAGTTGACCAGGTGCTCAGCCTCGATCAGTGCAGTCTGCAGGATCTCATCCGTCAGCTTCCGACCATCCGTGAAGACATGCAGTGCCTCTTTCACCGAGCGTACCATTCTCTCCCAAGCGCCTCCCATATGTGGCGCTGAAGGTGGGTTAAACGTCCAACGGGTCCTTGCACCAGTGAACGTGTCCGCACAGGCAACGTTGATCTCCTTCATCAGATCTCGATTGGCACCGACGAAATTCGTACCGTTGTCCGAGAAGATCTCAATCGGACTGCCACGTCGCTTCACAAACCTCCTAATCGCTATTTTGCACGACTCCGTCGTCAGGCAGTACGCCACCTCCAAGTGCACCGCTCTGACAGTTAAGCACGTGAACAGTGCCACCCATCTTTTCTCCTTCCTTCTTCCAACGGTCACTTCTAGCGGTCCGAAATAATCGATGCCCACGTTTGAAAACGGATCGATCTTCGCAGCCAATCGCTGTTCGGGTAGCGGTGCCATCCTGGGCACAGTTGGCTTTGCCTTCCGGATCTTGCACCACATGCACTCCCGCATCACTTGCACCGTTTCCCTGCTACCGTGGCCATACGGTCGATGATAATGTTGCACCAGTCTCTTGGTCACCACGTGATCTTTCGGCAGAATGATCGGGAACCTCGCATCAAACGCCACGTAGTCAGCCGCCTCGGTCCGACATTCCATCCGCACAATTCCATCTTCATCCAGAAATGGCGATAAGCGATAAATCGGACTCGACTTTTCCAGTGGTAAATCTTGAGCTACAGATGAATCCCGATTCTTCATGAGTGTCTTCACCTCGATGTATGGTTAAAGGTCTTGCCGAATCTCCGTCGAGAAGATGAAGTTATCTCCCTCCGGGTCCCACTTCTAGTGGCTTCACCGCGCACTTTGGCTCTCCAAGCTCCTGCAGGACCACCTCCGAGTTACTGACCCAGTTCCGTATCTCGAAACCTCCATTTGAGTGCACCTTTCTGACATCCATCGCTAGCTTAGCTTGACTGCTTCCGCTTCAGTATCGGCGCTGTCGAAATAATCATCGACGTAATGCTTCCGGACAATAGCATCTGCAGCTTCAGGGTACTGCTCGGAATGTTCGCGTACGTTCAGGTTCTTCACAAACTGGGCAGAGCATGGCGAGCAACTAGAACCGAAGATCACGACATCCATCACATAAATCTCCACCTCTCCGTTCGGACCCAGGAACAGAAATCGTTGTGCTTGACGATCCTCCAGATGAACCTTTGCTTGGTGAAACATCTCTCTGATGTCACCTCCAAACGCCACACGTCTCTCACGGAAACCACGGAAATCACTACTGGCAACGACGTTATCATGTCCGGTCCCGTCAACAGTTTATCGTTAAACGACACGCCAGGTGCTTTCACTGCCGCATCCCAAATCAATCGCACCTTACCCGGTTTCTTCGGATTCACCACGTAATTCAAGGGTAGGTACCATTCCATTCCCTTCGGCGTCTCTTTCAACTCCCACTCGGTAATGTGATGCGCGTAGCCTTTGGCGAGATATTCCTCCAACTGCTTCTGCAAGTTTTCTCGCACCCCAGGATTTCGTTTCATCCGAGCTTCCAAACTTCGCAACCGCTTCAAGGCCATGTCAAAGCTTTCAGGGAATCGCACGTCATCTTCCTTCCAGAGCAGTCCGGTTTCAAACCTCTCACCAATTCTCTTGGTCGTCTTTTCTAAGATCTCACGTGCTCTGCGATCTTCCCGTGACTCCAATCGAATCACCGAAGTTCCGACCTCCTCCAGTTGATAATTCCGCTTCAACGCATCATCCAGCTTCTTATCTGCAATGCTACATTCTTCACACACACAACAATGATGTCCCAAGAAGTTTACACTGCTGACGATATTTGGACGCGGGCCATACAACGTCCAGCCGAGATTGCAACGAACTGCAATAGGCTCACCAGAATCTCCAACTCGGGAGTAGAGATGAACTAGCCTAAGGCTAAAAATCTCCTTAATAAAGAATTAAAAAAAAAAAAAAAATCCAACTCGGGAGTCCAATGGCGCGATCAGGTGGGCGTTGTCGATTCCAATCAACACCTTCGGTGCAGCTACTTCGTAACTGGGAATCTGTATGTCCTTGAGATGTTCGAACTTCTCCTTCAATTTTCGGGAATCCATCTGTTGTGTAGGGAGATCCAGCTTGTGCACCGTGCGGGCTTCCATCAAATCGTAGCGATACGGCGAATTTTTGGCGGAGATCTCGAGCGTAACTTTCTTCGACCGATTCTCTGTCCGCTGAACACCATTTGTCCAGCACACCTGCAACGATTCCACCGGCCCATCAGCTCCCAACGATTCCACCAATTCGCTATCCACGATAGTTATTGACGATCCTTCGTCGATTAGAGCAAGCGCATCAATCTTCTTCTTGCCGTTGTAGAGCGTCACTGGAGCCATCCTGAATAGTACTGCACGTTCCTGCTGACGATGACTGTTGCATTGCGCTCGAGCTCGCGAGGCTCCTTCACTCGGGCCACTATGTAGCAGAGCATTGTGGTACTCCTGACAACCGTCCACTTTACAGGCTATCCGGATGCGACACGATCGTTGCCCGTGGTCGTACAGACAAAGCGGACACAGGTTCAACCGCTTCATTGTTTTCCACCGCTCATCCAAGCTCTGTTTCAGGAACTCCTGGCAATATCTTCTATAATGTCCAGGCTTCTTGCAGACCGAACACTTCAGTTCTCGTTGCTGCGGCTGGCTTTGCGACTTCTGCTGCAACTGATTCGACGATCTCTGCTCCGTCTTCTTCTTCGACTCCATCCGGCTTTGCTGGCTGTCTTGATTTCCTCCATCTGTAGCATGAACGAAAGCCTTGATCTTCTCATTTCTTTTGACCTTTCCGTCCAACTCTGCTTTTTCGAAGGTCGCTTCCAGTGCCTTTTTCACCAGACCCTCCATGAAACCACCAAACGTCTCCAAATCGACCGTTCTAGCGCGACGTTTGTAGTCCACCCACTCCATAGCATAATACGATGGTAGTTTTTGGACTAAACTCTGCATTAGAATTGGGTTCTTCAGGTGGTCAACCAGTCCTGCTGCCTTGAGATGCTGGGTGAATTCTTCAACCGCACTTCCGAACTCGATCACCGACTCCAAACTCTCCGAGCTGGGTCCTTCTAGCTGTTGAACTTTGGTTGCTAACCTGGTTGATAGAATTTCCGGGTTCCCGAATCTCTTCCGCAGCTTCTCAATGATACGCGGCACGTTTTCTGGCAGCAGCAATCGGTTCCGAACCGTTTCCAACGCTCTACCCTTCAGCGCGTCTTGTAAGCGAACCAAATTCTTGGCGTTGGTGAATCCACACGACAAGTTTGCTTGCTCATAGGCGCTGATGAATATCGGCCACTCTTCGGCTGCTCCGTAGAACTTGGGTAGACTCTGTGAAAAGACCTGACGGGATGCTATTTGGAGCCGTGTTGGTCCTTCCACAATGACTTCATCATCGGAGTCTCTGCCACCAAGGATTGATCTCAGTGCGTCATCATCCTTTTCAAAAGAAGGGCGTGGCAGTACCGGATTCGATGCACGCTTGGTGCTCTTCTTCGTGGTGGGCAGCTTTGGTGTTGACTTTCGAGGCTTTTTTTCTTCCAAAAGTTTCTTGAAGCGATTATACAGGTCCTGGATATCATCTTCGGTGGACCTTTTTCGTGGAACCATCGGAATTGCACCCAAACTCTTCGGGATCTGCTCCTCCGGCTGCTTTTTGCCGCTTCTGTTCATCGATTCTTCCACTTCTTCGTTCACTGAATCCGAATCATCTTCAGCATCCTCGTTGATGATCATCCTCAATTCAATCCTCCTTTTGAGCGCTTCTTTTCGTCTGGCAATCTGCTTTCGTTGAAGTTCCAAAAATTTCCATTGGTTTTCCTCTTCGAGTTCGTCGAACTTGTTTTTCTCCTCCAGTTCGCGAAGTTCCGTCAACGCACGAGGCAGACTATTTTTTTAGTATTTATAATGGCAAAAGAAACAAATTTTAATTAACTTCAATTCACGCTGCTTTCAAAACAATAATATTCGTATCAATGCTTATCACCGACTTTGACAATTCGTATTCGCATGTATACGTCCTACTCACACTATCGCGTCCAAACGGTTGAAGCTTTCGGGGGGCGCGTCGATAGACGCATTCGTCGCAACATCCTCCCCCACGTGTCGTACGAACACTTCGACAGTGAGCATTCATAAGGGCGTATACGCGATGATCGATTCTCTTCATCGATTTTCTCTTTTGTTAATAACTCGCTAGATTTAACGTTTGTCGGTGCGTTTGCTGTTGCTTTTGATAGCCAATGCAACCTGTTACAACTCTACATTGAATAAATTCTACAAAATTGTTTCGCTTAGCTGTAGCAATGCAAAGAGAAAATCGATGAAGAGAATCGATCATCGCGTATAGGCCCTTATGCATGCTCACTGTCGACTTGTTCGACGGCACCATTTACGCCACTAGCTGTGTGACTACGGCCGCCGCTATCCGCATCACCACGACCGCCTATATCCGTTTCGTCATGTCCGCTAACTTCCAAAACGCTAAGTTGCAGACCGCTCTCCTCCTCAAAATTCCATTGGATGTCTCGACGGCCGCCAGCCGCACGGCTGCGTCCTTGCCTGGATATGTACGGCAAACGCGACCACGAGTCCATTGGTTCCACAATTTTCCGTCGGCCACCACAACCAACGCTCCTTCTCTGATTGGTGCAACGTCGCTGAACCACTTCGATCGTCGAGATATCACTGGAAGATATTCAACGACCCAACGTCTCCAGAATGAGTCCAACCTGTTCTGAATCAGCTCCCAACTACTCTTCAGGGCTTGCCGTTCATCCACTGGTGCTTTAATAGGTTGCCTGACCCCACTTGAGTTGAGCATCAGGAAATGGTTCGGAGTTAACGATTCCTGCTCCTCGCTGTCTAGTGGTAGAAACGTCAACGGCCGCGAATTAACCATGTGCTCCACTTCGATCAACATTGTGACGAACGATTCGTCGTCCAGCTTTCGTGATGTGGGTAATGTACCAAGTGCCGACTTCACGGATCGAACCATCCGTTCCCAACATCCTCCCATATGTGTGAGTGAGTCGGTAGAGAGGGTGTGCGCTACCTCTATGTGGATGGCCCGAACTGTTAGGCACGTAAAGATCGCTACCCAGCGTTTCACGGAACTACGACCAACTTTCATTAGATAAGGCCCGCAGTAGTCTATGCCTACAAATGTGAATGGTCGAATGAAAAGCTGGCTCATCTTCGGAATTGCCGGAGTAGCTTTGTATACTCGGCACCATTGACAGCGTCTCGCCACGGATCGGATCTCTGTTCTCAGGTTTGGAATGTAAAACTTCTGACGAACTTCATTCACGACCGTTTCATTGTTGGCGTGTCGGAATTTCCGATGGTACCAGTCCAGCAACAGGTTAGTTACCGGGTGTTTCTTTGGCAGTATTATCGGGAAATTGGTATCTCGTTCTACGCAATTTGCGGCCGCAATTCGACCGTCTACGCGTAACAATCCGTGTTCGTCCGGCATTGGTGGAAAATTCTCTAGTGGACTGCTCCGGCTAATGGCTCGCCTGTGTTTGGGTGCCGATAGCGCGTTCCGGTTCATTGTAGCCACCTCATCTGGATAGCCATCCGACTGCGCGAGCCGCCAAAGGCTCCTCTCCGCATTCCGTAAATCTTCACTGCTGATATCCGTAGTTTCCTCTCTCGCTTCGTCTCTAATTCGTCTGAGAAGCTTCTCAGAGCATA